AAGCCCACGGCCAGAGTTTGTTTTGAAGTGGAAAATTCCCCTGGCCCAGTTGTTATTGTAACAATTTAAACTTCCTCTAGGGGGACACAGTAACAGTCAGAAGTTGTTGCCTTAAAATAAATAACCTTTTTTTTTTTAATCCCCCAATTCACAAAATAGACGACAGTTTCAATTTCAGTTATTTTCCAGTTTCTTTAAAACCAGGAGAAGCCAGCCAGAAACATTGTATCTCACTTGCAGAGTTAGCTGTCAAAAAGTACTCTATTCACCAACAGCGCATTTCACAGTACGGCATTCTTATTGTCCATTGGCAGCCCGTTCACAGGTTTTAAGCGGTGGATTTTAGCTTCCTTTTCTCTCTTTTTGCAGGGAAATACAGTTCACACCTTTCCCCCCTCCTCTCCTGCAACCAAGGGGGGAAATCGCTTGTTTTGATGTTAGAATTATAGTTCTTTCCAAGCGTTTTCCAAGGTTTTAGCTTACAAGTTCATTGCTTTACTCTATTTACAAAGAACGGAAGGCAGACTTCCTGTTTATGCCTTCCCGCTTCGGTGATCAAATTACGTCTTTGTTCTCCTTATTTCCCAAATTAGCCTACTCACGGGTAGTTGTTTTGTAGCCAAATTGTCACAGGAAAAAGGTAGCGCTCTCCGGTAACGGCTGTGCGGCTTCGCTCCACGGAAGAAGCAGTTGACTCTCAGCACCGCGCCACTTCCCCACTTCACTCCGGAGCCCGTAATCGGGCTCCTTTGCAGATTGGGGGGCGCAAAAGGTGCCCGCCAAGTCCCACGGTCACAGGCTTCACCCGCCTGTGATTTTTTCAAGGGTCCCCGCTTTGCCATAGCGGAACAGACCCGATTCCCGTAGATCTAGTCCCTCCGGATCAGAGGGAATCCGCCATTACCGATGGCGCCACCCCGGAAGTCCCCATGGCTAGTAGTCATTTATATCCTTATTATTTATTTCATAAAATTATACATTGCTTGATGGCTAAAAAACTCAAAGTGATTTACAAAAAGAATCATCCATGAACATGTCTAAGCCTCCTTTTAAAAAAAAGTTCAGGTTGGTGGCCATCATTGCATATTGTAGTTGCAAATCCCATAGTTTAATTGTGAAGTGCTATGTTTTTTGAAATTATTTGTAGAATAGTTCAAAGTTTGTGGAGAAGAGTAGAGAGGAATAGGAAGGCTGAGCATCTGTCTTACAGCCCTTGTCCTATCTTAAGAAAGTGCCTTTAGCTATCTGCCAGAACCTTTAAAGTGTTCTCTATAGGATATGTATTGAAAATAGAAATTACTCACCTGTAAATTGGATTTCCCAGCAGGTAATACACTCCATAAATCCAGACCTAGCAAATATTTTAAAGCTATAGGTTGAATTCTGATGAATGTATTGCAGTAGTTTCTGCCCCAAACAGATTAATGTTATGCTGCTTTTATGCAGTCTTCTGATTAGGCAGGTGTGAATGGTCAGGGTAAAAAAAGTGGGACTAGGGAAGGTGGAATGTTGCAATGTATTCTTACCCCTAAATAGGAGTCCCTGGTCATGGAAAAAGGACATAGCTGTCAAGTGTCCCTTATTTGAAGGGAGAGTCCCTTATTCCAGCGCCATGTCCCGCTGCTGTCCCTTATTGATGGATGTCCCTTAAATGTCCCTTAAATGATGTCCCTTAAATTTCAAAGGAAGCAGCTCCTCTCCCTCCCTCCCTGCCGGCCAGGGAGGAGGGAGGCTCCAACTGTGTTGCTTGGCTGTGTTGCTCACCCAATAAGAAGTCTAAGAACGACTGGGGGGTGGAGCTTGCATGCCTTGTGTGTGGCTAGTTAATGCAAGCTGAGGGGTTTTTGAATGCTGGACGCCATTTTGTTGCACATGCTGCTGCAAACTTTGCAGTGCAAAGCCAGGCCGGGGGCCATCTTAAGTTGAGGCTGCATAGGCCTTGTGGTACATGTGATTCAGATTCTATTCAGTTGAACCTCTGGTTACAAAGTTGGTTGGACAGTGTTCTCGAAGCTACCCAGCATGAGTTTGACCAGACTGCAGGAGGACAGGAAGACTGGAGTGCCTGGAACAGGTGAGGCTGCAGGTCCCTTATTTTGGCTGCTGGTCCCTTATTTTCAAGGCTGCTGGTCCCTTATTTTCAAATCTGTAAGTTAACAGCTATGAAAAAGGGGTGAGTGAAGCTCTACATCAGGAACAAAGGGTTCAGGGTTCCAGACATTCCCTCCAAGCAGTTCATTCCACACTATGTCTCTTCCTGCTCCTGCGCATTTTCCATTTTTCTCTTCCAGCTGACAGTCAACATTTTGTAATTACTGAGCATGCTCAGTCCTCATTGTCTATACAGAGGGGGGGAAATAGGAAACATTCTTACATGCACCTCCCATTCTTTCTTTTCCTCCTTTGCAGCCTGAGCTCAGCCTGCTGAAATTGGGATTTGCAGCTGATCAGTGTTGGCTGCAAACCCCACATTGGTGGAGCTTAGTTACACTTTGGGCCTCCCGACTGCAGCCAATCTGAGAGGAGTTTGCAGCCACTGCAAATCTGCAAACAGACACAGGCTTTTGACAGGGATCAGCTCCACCTGGGAGCTCTGTCGGGGATTTCCAGAGTGGAATCAATCCCAGTGGGGCTTGCATTGGCATCTACTTTAAAAGGTCCATAATGCAAGCTGTGTTTACCACGGAACAATTGGGAGCACATTTTAAGGTTCCTAGTGGCTCCTTTTCAGCTGTGTCTTTACCTGCCTACATCTCATGCCACATATGACATTTCCTGTGCGGTAGATAGGCGTGTCTTATTTTGCTCTTCAAGATATGGCAAACCCTACCTGATTAGTCCCATAGGTAAGGGATTATCCATGATGACAAATCCCTGCGCACGTGATCTTAAATTCTACTTGTCAAAATTTGCATGAATGAAATTTATGAAAATGAAGAACTGCCCACTTCCTACATGTGTGTTGGCTGGGAAATGTGGGTCTCTTCTCTTAGAATAGCTGCCTTAGCATATGGGACAACAGCAGAGCAAAAGGAAAGGATCCTGCAAGGTGTGAGCACTCCCTGGTGCAAGGTGGCTCAACTTCATTATTCTCTGGAATCTGCTCCCTTCTCTAGGCCATTAGTACCCTGGTCAAGATTTTCCCATTCTCTCCCAGTCAGTCAGACTGTATCATTCAGCCATCACTAGCAGTAATGGTTTTGCTGTTACAAAGCTCATGTGTTCGGGTTGTATGAGACCATTGACTCAGGGCTAACCCAGGACATTTTGGCACCTGAGGCAGCGAATGGTGCCCACCCCTTGGTGAGTGAAGATCTACATCAGGAACAAAGGTGGGGAGATATAGATCTAAATAGGAATCTGCTGCCCCTGTGGATCCTGCCACCTGGGGCAGTCACCTCACCTTGTCTCATACATGGGCCAGCCCTGCATTGAGTAGGAGACAGATATGCTTCCTGAAAGATCCACTCAGGAGGCGGCTTTCCCAAAATGCTCTTAATGTAACAATGCAATGCACTGTATACAGAACGCAAACCTTCATATATATATTTTTCCTTTTAAGTGAAACCTGGAGCAAAGGTTTGGAAATGCATGGATTAGATAGGAAACAGATGTGATATATTTTCAATTGTTCAAAAGTATGTGTGAGGCCTCTGACTTTGGAAGGGCACAGGGCACATGCACCAGTCCCCACCTCAACATTCCCATGCATTCTAGATTTGTCCCTTGGCCCCAAATGAGCATGAAACCTTCTCATTCATGCAGCAGGATAGTCTGCAGGTAGAGTCTAACTACACCCAGCTAAACATAGGAGACCCCAGGCCAATATTTTGCTCATTTTGCAGCCTCTGTGCGTTTTGTGAAATGAAATAAAATGGGGCTGAGGGCTATTTGCAACTTTATATTGCATGTATTTTGGCCTAGAGCAATCATGTAGTTGGTAAGTGAAGTGGTGCAGGAAGGAACTTAATATTGGAAGCAAATGTTCCTATTTCTAAGCATGAGAAAACATGACATGCCACAGATTGTTTTGGTGAAAGCAGGTGCAGTTGGAAATCTTATCCAGTAGGCTTGACCTCAGCGCTACCTCTGGCCCGAGTAAGAGAACCTCTTTATTCAAGAGCTGTTTCCTCTCCCCACCCCTAATATATATGAGCTGTTTTTAAACAAGCTGGCAATAGCAGGTGTCCTCTCAAGCTGAAATAAGTTCAAGCTGACAAGTATATTTAGCAGAGAATAACTACATATATACTGGTGGAATATAGACAGGAGGGGATGGAAGAGAGCTGTCATGTGGAGTTAGTGACCATTGCCTCATTTTATGGCATCCAATTGGACTGGATGGTAGTTGATTTTGCCAAGTGCAGTATTACTAGAAAAAACATTCTGCCTCGTATGCCATAATAGTTTCCCTATTAAGAGGAAACTGGTTTTTTTAACATTTAAGGTGGGTTGGAGAAATGCTAATCCTGTTTTCTGGATTTCTACTTAACGCCACTGCAGTCTTCATGACTCTAGTTTTCAAAGACTTCGAGTAATGTGTTAATTGTACCTTGTTTCTTCATGTTTTAGCTCACAGTATATTTTCACAGTGCCACGATCTGAACATATCAATGTGCTTCCATTACTGCATGTCCCAAAGCCCATTCAACTTATGCTGTCATACACTGAAGTCTTGACACACTAAAGCACTCCTTGACACCCAGCGATCAGGGCAGTGATTGCTGTTTCCCTATACACTGCACTGCAGACAGTACACTGATGTTGCAAGCCTCTTCTCTCCAGGTGAAAAGAAACTGCTGCTTCTGCTGCTCTTAAAGGGGAGGGTGGTCAGACAAAGAGCTGTCTTGAAAATGCTCACAGCGTAGTTGTTTCTGGATCTGTTTTAACACCCATCATTCTAAATGAATAGAAACATTCCGAAAGGATTTAAAAAGAAAAAGAAAAAAAAGTCTTGTCTTTCTGCAAACATGGTAACAATCTTTGGCCCAGATGGGCTGAAGTCAATTGCAGAACTGAAGAGAGAGTGACAGAGGCAATAAAAATGGACAGATGTATAGGGAGAGGGAGATTTTGCTTCTTGGCATAACCCCCCCCTCCAAATGCATGGAATTTGCTGTAATTGGAATGTGTAAGTGGAATTTGTTGTAATTGGCTCGGGTATAAATGTACCATTTAAATTAAATAGTGAATGCTATTAAAAAGAGAAACACAAACCGATTTCTAGCATGTATCATACTATGTTTTGTTTGGTTTTCTTTCTTTCTTTGACTCCATTTAAATACACTTTTACACTATTACTAGTGATTTTATATAAATCTTAAATATTTGATATGGTGTATTTTTTCAAGTGTGCTATGAATGTAAATTTAGCCTGTTACCAGAATCACAGGTTTGGACAGGGTCATGCTTTCTTTGTTATTTATTATTTTAATTAATGAGGACATTACAATTCAGTAGAATTTTAATTATTGAAAAACTTCAAGTTAGTCCTAGGAGCTTAAGAAAAAGCAACAAAAGTTAATGAGGACAAAGTCAGTGACCAGCTAACACCCCCCAAAATACAGAAGGTAGGACATATAACACTTAAATTGATTTTGGGGGATTCCCTTCCAAATCATGCACAAAAGAGTTACTGACTTCTTGTAATAACGAGTCCCAACAACTATTTAGCCAAATCCCCCAGAGTTGCAGTAAAAAAAGAAAATCATTTGGGTAGAGAGGAAGGACCAATGGGAGTGTCTCCCTCCAAAACAGCCCAATGGGGTACTGAGCATTTTCAGTTGCCGCAGAATGTTAATTATTTGTTGGGGAAAACAGAAAATGGGGGAGCAAATAGAATGAAGTCTGCTGGAAGTGGGCACTGCTGGGCTGGAACCTAAACAGGAATACTCCATGCTGCAAGATTTTGTTACAGGTCTCACTTGTTTTCGTTGTTATTTTGCCTTCTGCAGTTGAGTCTTTCAGCTGTTTTTTGCTCTGGGATCAAACAGCTGTCAGTGTTGTTAATGACATCAGATTTTCTCCATTAAAATCTTTCAATTAAAAAAAAAAGTGGCTGTGGAAAGCTCTTCCACATCCCCCTTTTGTGAAGCAATGAAAAATCCAACGAAAGATAGCAGCACTTATTACAAAACCACAGACCGGAGCTTCTGTTGATGGAATCTCATAATGAGTAATTAAGCTACTTTGCAGAAGTCAAGGCTGTCATGCTTATAACTGGGGGTATTTCCATTCTCCTGTGGATGCAGCCAGGAAGATGCACTGGGAAGGTGATAAAGGAAGGATAGGTAGACAGGATTGTTCTAGAAATAGCATTGTTCTTCTGAAGCACGCAGGATTCTCTCCCCCCCCCCACCTCCCTCAAAGTTGCAGCTTAAAAATTAGCCTAGAGAAATAACCTTCTCTGTGGTGTGAAAGGCACTTTCTAAAAACATTCATAGTGTATCTCTGGATAAACTTGAGAAATGGCAAGCTGTGAGGGTTTGTTTTCCCCTCTAGCTGTGCTTCCTTATCTCTCAAGGGAACAACAGAGACCAGGATTTTTTGAAGCCTGGAGCTAAAACTGGATGTAACATGGTCTGTTTAGAAGTGGCTTCTAAATGTATTAGTATCTATTATTTATTATGTTATTTATTTACATCCTGCCTTTACCCTAGAACTGGGATGCAAGGCAGCTCACAAGCATTACAACAAACACAGGTATAGCACAGAAAATTTAAAACATATTTTTAAAACAGTTTAAAATGTAATTAAACGATAACAGAGTTAAAATGATATTTAAAAAATCTAGTAAACAAATCAAGTTAAAATAGCACAACACTATTAAAAGCCCTTCCTTAAAAGCAGTCATAAAGCAGCCTTCCCCTGCTGATGGAAGGACAACAAGGAGGGAGCCAGACTCGCCTCTCTAGGAAGGGAGTGCCAAAATCTGGCAGCAACCACTGAGAATGCCCATCTGTCCCAGCCACATTCATGTCAAAAGCAGGATACACCAGGTCCAATTCTATGAGTGAAAGGGACAGGAGGCAGTCCTGTCATTGAGAACCAGGTGCCACACTTTTTGTGAGATCAGAAGCACCTTCTCAGACAGAATGCACATGTCTGCATGCAGCAGACTTGTAGGATGAGAGAGTCCTGCAAGTGAGCTCACCCGCCTCATTTTTAAAAGCTTGATGGGAGGAATGTCAACTGTTGGAGCAGCTTCATGGCTACTGTTTGTTTGTGAACCCCTGCCAGGAGTGCCAACTTGGCCCTGTCACCATGGGTGCCTGGGGCCGTGGGCGCCATGCAACGTGCATGGCCCTGGCACTGAAATTTGTGGGTGCTTGGCCCCTTCATGGGGAATTGTGTAGGTGCTTCCCCAGTTCCTCAGGCTATGAATCTGGATTGTTGGGTTGGCCAGCTGTAAGGAGTAGACTGCCTTTGGTCTCTGGTGTGACTAGGGGAGAGGATGTTCATTAATGTCAGGCTTTGGGGAATTGGCTTCCTCCCCCATGGCCGTAAATAAGCAGATCAAACGAAATGAATTCTTACCAGTTAGTTTCTTTAATAAACACAGCGAAGGACAAAAGAAAACATCAACACAAAATGGTGGTGTTCCCAATTAAGCTTACACCCCTTCCATCCCTATTAATCTATACCACTCCTACGTCTTGTAATCTGAGTTTGTATCCTCTGTGCTTTCTGTTCTGAGACTTTCTGAGCTCTTTCTTGACCTTGGGCTGAGTGGAGGAATGCTGTCCAGAGACTGTGAGTCTCTCTTCAGTATTTCTTCTCCTAGCTGTTCCCCATCCAGTATTTCCCAGCTTCTGCCTTCTGAACTATGCTCCTCTGCAAACCACTGTTCCAAATCTATACTGTCCTCCTGCTTCTGGGAAGATTCAGGAGCAGGGGGAGGGAGTGGCTCCCACTATTCCTCCTCAGTGCATCCCTCCTTAGCACAGTCCCTGACATCCATCAGCATTTCAAAAAATGTTACAAGTTCGGTCTTCCAGCTTCAGCTTTAATTCCCACAACTGCATTGACATAGTGAGTAGAGTTTAGTGGCATAATGATCATGTTCACTATCTGCACAGCTTATAAGAATTTAAGAAGATAGAGCCAGTATCCAATCTAGTCCAGCATTCAGTTCTCACAGTGGCCAACCATCTGACTCTGGGAAGCCCACAAGCAGGACCTGTGCACAGCAGTGCTCTCCCTTCCTGCAGTTTCCAGCAACTGGTAATCAGAAATATATTGCCTCTGACCATGAAAACAGTGCATAGCCCTCGTGACTTCCATGCAACAAGGGAACAATTGTATGTACCTTCAGAAATATATACACAATGTACTCTGTGTTTAAAACACACATGCATGGACTTCCGCGTTGGCGCCACCGGCAATGGCGGAATTCCTCTGATCGGGAGGAATTTGCCTCGTGGAAATTCGGGTCTGGCCGCCACGGCGAAGGCGGAGACCCACTAAAAATCACAGGCGGGTGAAGCCTGTGAACGTGGGATTCGGCGGGCACCTTTTGCGCCTCCCCTACTCGCGGGAAACCCGGTTTCGGGGATCCGGAGCGACGTGGGGTGAGCGGTGCGGTGCTTCGGATCGACTGCTTCGTCCACGGAGCGAAGCCGCATAGCTGTTGCTGGAGAGGGCTGACTTTTTCCTGTGGACAATTTGATCTTAAAGCAACTACCCGTGAGTAGAGTGAAGAATTGGATTTTTAAACGTTTTAATTTGGCACCGAAACGGGGAGGCTCAAAACAGGAAGTCCACCTCCCCCTTTTGTAAATAAGACTGAGGCAAAGAGGTTGCAAGCTAAAGTCTTGGAAAGCCTATTGTAAAGGACTAAATTCTCATCAGTAAAAAATATTAACCCCCCCCTTGGAAGCAGGAGAAGAGGGGGGAGGCTTTGGATTGTGTATCCCTGCAGGAGTGAGTGAAGGAAGTTAAAATACAACCGTTCCGAACCTGGAAACGGGCTGCTAGTAAGATCGACGTGACTTGGAAGGTTCATTGACAGCGAATAGAACGTTCGGTGACAGCTAGCATAAGAGAGATACATTGTTTCCATTGTCTTCATCTGCACTTAAAAAGGAGTAAAAGTAACGGAAAATTGAAACAACTTTATTGAACTTTATTAAAAAAGGAGGAAAGTAACTGAAAATTGAAACTAACTTTGGATTAATGAAACTGTGTTTAAAAGAGGACATACTGACCGATACAAATACAACTCGCTTTCCCCTAGTGGAAGCTTTTGAAATTGGTTACTTTATAGGAGCTGGGCTAGGGAAATTTCCAGCTGCAAGATAAAAAAGTGTGAGACTTTGGAATTGACCTTGAACCTCTTAAGTGTTATGGTAAATGGAAAGGAAAAAACAGACGGGATGTCGACAGAGGAGGCCTTAGTGGCTGCATTATTGAAAATAAACGATTCGCTGGAACAACTCCACAAGAAAACAGATGCGATAAATGTGAAATTGGATGTTGCAAATATTGAAATTGATTCAACTGTAGAAAGTTTAAATAACTTGGGACAAAAGGTGAATACCAATTCAGAAACCACCCAGAAACTGACACAGGAATCTACTTCGATATGGCAAACTGCAGATGAAGTCAGGGGAAAAACCCTTGCTGCTGAATCAGTAATACAACAGGAGAGGAGAGTCCCATCCATACAAAGACAACTTGACGAACATAAGTTGACATTCGTTATGATTGAACTTAAAGAAGAACGGATGAATTTGAGGACCAGAGCCCTATCTTAATTGGAAAAGGAAAGCTTGACAGAGTTTCAGGAGGCGATACTAACACTGGTTGAGAAAGAGAGGTATTTGGGGGTTAGTATGACCGCCAAAAATGTGAATCTGCTTAAGGATAACTGTGAAGGATGTTGGATTGAAGAGAAGGGGGATTTGGAAATATGGACAAGTCAGAAGTTGTTACTGTTGGGCCGAGTTATTGTGGTGGGGATGAGGGCTGCTGTGTTGCTGAGGATGTTGCTTTTGTTTCAAACATTGCAAGCTTTGGATGGGATGGAGGGTTTCAGGAGGTGGCAGAGGGATGCTCCTAGAGTTGTTTGGCAGGGCAGGAAGCCTCGAGTAAAATTTAAGATATTGATGGATGCCAAAGAAGGAGGTGGACCTGCCCTGCCAGACCTTTAAACTTTGCTGTGAAACCATCTGCTTTTTGCTGGTTGAGAGAATGGTTGCTTTTTGAAAACACTGAAGCGTTGGACAAGGGCAGATGAAGTTGATGGACTATATGGAATTGGCGGAAATGACTGGCAAGATCCGAGACCAGGGTGAAGAGTCGGTGGAAGAAGATTGGAAAAAGTTTAAAGACTATTTATAGAAATATTGTAAAATTAAAGAATGTTAGAAAAATGTTGGAATGAAATTATATGGCTTTAGCAGAAATGTCATAAGGAATTAAGTATAAATAGATTAATAGAAAATTAAAGGAAAAGTATGGCAAGAATGTGTTAAGATAATTATAGAACAGAAAACAGAGTAAGATGGAAAGGAATTGCTGAAACAAATAATAGAAGTGGAATACAAAAAGGGAGGTGGGAGGAGGTCGCTGGAAATAAGTGAATGAAATATAAGATATTGAAAATGTTTGAGGTGTTTTTAAATTGTTTTTGCTTGTTTTTGTTTGTTTTGTTAGTCTATGTAGCGTTTTTGTATTGTATCTGCATTGTGTTTTTTTGTTTTTTGTTTTTTGTTTTGTTGTTTGTAGTGTTGTGTTGGAAATGTTAAAAAAGTAATAAATATCATTAAAAAAAATAATAAAACACACATGCATGTGTGCACACATAGAAGAAGCCCTATTCAGACCTTCATATTTTGAATATAAGAAATAAAGGATCACATTTATATACCTGTCAACAGTCCAGATTTTTTTTTTGGGGGGGGGGGAGTGGGGAGGAAACAAGGTTGGTCTAGATTCTTTGGTGTCAGATCATTGCCTAAGCATTTTTGCTGATTTTATAAATTCTACTCCCCACAGAGTTCCAATTAATTGGAAGTGATTCTGAATTCTTTGCTCTTTGTGCTCGTACAGTTTGTTTACTTTATTAAACTTAGCATTTTCCAAAGAGCTTTATAATTCTGTCTGAGGCAAAACTAGTTCTCCTACTTCCACTTACCATTACTTCCATTTATGTTAAGCATGTTTTGTTTTCATGTTCGTATTCTATAATAGCTACAATTAAATCAATATAAATTAATCAGTAAAATACAATATATTTTCTAGGAAATAGTAATTAAAACAAAATAAAACACCCCAAGAGTTCATAGAAATGCTACCAAGACATTATGCATTTAGACTGTTAAACAATACTAGACAATATGGAATTATGTGGCCCACCTTAACTAAATACAACAATGATTTTATTCTCTTAACATGTACCAAAACCTGCTGTTACTGAAAGAGACTATACTACCCCTGACTTTTTATGGTTTTCCTTATACTTTTTATCCAGAAAATCTTATTGCCCAGCATCTTTGTCGGGTTTTACACACCTTGAAGCTTGAAAGGGGGGGGGATGTGGCAGTGGCCCAAAGGGCCACAATAAATGTAATCCTGCGTACCCCTGTACATCCTTGAGTGTGCTTCTAATAGAGAAGTTATGATAGCCTGTTATTTTATGAAACTGATGATTTTGCAATATGTGCCACCCCATTGGGACAGAAATACAGCTAATATATGTAAATCACAAAGATACAGCATGAAGCTAGAACATAAATTGCTACATGGTGCAAATGGCTACAGTAACACAGGTCCCAACATGCACACTAACACAATGTAACAGAACACGGTGGGAATAAGAACATGATCAGCAGGAATTGCCAGCAATTATTGCGCATGTGTGTAAAACATGAAATGAGGTAATGATGTACATGATTGGTAGAAATTGAAATGCTCTGTTTGAAACTTTATAAATACCACTGCCTGGACCACTGGGCATGGTTGCAGTTTTGCAGAATGATCCAACTGTAACCTATTGCTTTGCAATAAATAATGTTGGACTCCTAACTCCTCTCGTTTCTCAGGAGATAAGCTATTTTCTGGCTTGCTTCAGTTGCAGTGCCATGACTAGGCCTGACACCAGACTAGGATGGATCCAAATTGCAAGTTTTCTCCAAGCGTGCCTAAAGCTAGACAGCCACCACCTTGAGCATCTTACCCCCAAATGGGGTATTCACCACTGGGTGGTAATTGTTTAACACTTCTGTGTCCAGGGAGGTCTTTTTTAAGGAAGTGACACTGCTGCCTCCTTCAAGGCAGATGGTACATTCCCCTTTCCCAGTGGATCATTAATCACTCCCTGGAGCCATCCAGTCAGCCCATCCAGGAACCAAGAAAGTCAAGGGCCAAGGCCAAGGTGGTCAGCTGCATATCTTCAGGCATCTTGTCCACATCCCAATAATCTAAACAGATCCAGTATAAATGGCACAGACAATTCTCTAGATGCCACAACTGGACTTGCTCTAACTGTAGCATCCAACTCTGTCTGAATCTGAGTGGTTTTGTGCCTAATATTTTATATGCTGTTTTTCACACTTTTGTACCCAGAGTGGTTTATGACACAGGGATATAAACAGTATAAGATTATCATAAAACTACAAAAAGACAATAGAACCAGAACTAAGAAAATCAAACAGTGATGTGGCTAAAAAAGGCTATTTTAGTAGTAGTAGTGGTGGTGGTGGTAGTAGTTGTTATTTAAATTTCAGTTGCTATTTTTACAATAGCAGACTAACAACAAACAAACAAACATATACATAAAGATCTAAAAGTCAGTCACATTTTTAAAATACAGGATTAAAACATCAGGAGGTCACACAGAATTAAAAGTCAAAGGCCTGGAGGAATATAAACATATGTAATGAAATGATGGTACCATGCAAGCTTCCTTGGGAAGAGCGTTCAACAAGTGGGGAGCTACTACTGAAAAGGCTCATTCTGGTATTCCCACTCTCTGGACCTCTCATGTAGGGAGCACTTGGAGAAGGGTCTCAGATGATGATCACAGGGTCCTACATGGTTTGTATAGAGAAGAACGCTCCTTGAGGCTTTATAGGTCAAAAACAGCACTTTGAATTGAGCCTGGAAACCACCGTATTTTTCGCTCTATAAAACGCACCCGACCATAAGACGCACCTAGTTTTTAGAGGAGGAAAACAAGAAAAACCAACAAGAGCCGCAGAAATGCTCGCTCGGCGCGGCTCTTTAAAGATAGAGCGGCTCTTGCTGGCTTTTCCGGGAGGTGGGAGAAGGGACTGATGGGTTGCCCTCCGTCCCTTCTCCCACCTCCCTGAAAAGCCAGAGCAAGCTGTGCAGCTATCGCTGAAGCCAGCAGAGCAAGAGCTGCACAGCGGCTCTTGCTCTGCTGGCTTCCCAGCAAAGTGGGATGAGGGACGGAAGGGGCTCTGTAAGGGCTCCCTTCCGTTCCTCCTCCCGCTTCACTGGGAAGCCAGCAGAACATGAGGCACTGTGCAGCTCTCGCTCTTGCTCTGCTGGCTTCAGCAATAGCTGCACAGCCTGCATGTGCTCCATAAGACGCACACACATTTCCCCTTACTTTTTAGGAGGAAAAAAGTGTGTCTTATGGAGCGAAAAATACGGTAGTTGGTAGCCAGTCCTGTTGAGCCATGTTTGGTGTTACATGCTCAGATGATCTTGCCCTGGTGAACACCTCAACTGCCAAATTCTGCACCAGCTACAGTTTCTAAAGCATCTTCTAAGGCAGCCCCGTATATATCACATGGCAATAATCTAGGCTAGATGCGTTACCAGAGCATAGACTACAGAAGTTAGACTATCCATGTTTTTAAAGCAGCTGTAGAACTAAAATACATTCTAAGTTGAAATGAAAGTTCCTTAAGTTTCTGACAGAAAAGATACAAAATTGGTGCCTGACAGATTTCTGTGGGGAGAGCATTCCAGCACTGGCCAACAAGGCGCTGAACCCCATCATTTTGGATCAGTTTATATTATTGCGGTGTGCCCTGAAAGCTGGTTAGAAACCTTTTAAATTAAATAAAGAGAGCTTACAGTTTGCTCTCTTAACCATAACCCTACACAAGCCTTTGGTAAGATAATTTATTACTTCAAATCCTTTGTTATCTCAAAGGTTTGCATTACACTAAAAGTGGTTGTATATTAAAAAAGATTCCAGTAGTAACTGCCACTGTCACCTAGCTCCACATGAAAAAGATTCCTTCTGTGCCAGTCTGTTGGAACAACTCTGCACATTGATCTATGGATTTTTCATTTGCTTCAAAATAGCCCAACCTGCATGCCTGCAAATTGTGAATAAGCAAAGTCTGAAAGGTCCTAACTTTAGAGGCATGATTTTGAGCAATTACCTTGGGCAGTGGGGGTGGGGAAATACACTTCTTTTTGACTAAATAGATCTGTCAGGAAAAGCCAGACTGCAGTATGCCATTGCTGAAATACATGTGTGCGCTAGTAAACTGGACCCAGCCAATTAAACATCAAAATGTTGGCTGCATTCAGTTCATTTGAAGACTTATGTAAGTTCATTTTCATAGCGTGTGTGTCTGCGTCTTTAGACTTTAACTGACAGATTCCCACAGTGAATAGACTAGGGAGTTATCAATTATATGGTTAGCTGTGCGCTGCAATTGTATGCTCTGTAGCTTCTTGACAGAAGCAGGCAGAAAAAAGATAGAAGGAGTTTAATTCCCTGCTTCAGCAAGACTGTTAATATTTTAGACTAGAAGCCTGGAATCATATATTTTTTTTAAGTCTGAAAAAGTGATCATTTTTAAGCCTGCCTGCTAGAATTTCTTTAGCAGGTGCCAAATAGCAATAACACATTGGTCCACAAATAACAGAAACTGCCTTTTGATGTTCTTTGTCAAACCATGGAATGCAACATTGCATGTTATAAAATGGAAACACAAACATCAATAGCGACAGAATTCCTACAGTGTGGGTTGGGGAAGAGTCAGTCTACCTAAGGGAGGAGGTTAAGAGAAGACTTAAGAGTCAGCTAGAGAACAGGGTGGTCCAACACATGGCCTAAGGGCCACATGCAACCCTCAATGCCTTTTTGGGCGGCTCTCAGCTACATTGCCCGCCCCCCATCTCTTGTGCTGCCTGGCTTTGGGAAGGGGACATGAAGGCTCTGACAGGTCCTAGAGCCCTCCTGTTTCCTTCTCAAAGCCTAGTTAGCACTTTCCTAGCTTTGGGAAGGAGGTATGGAGGCTCTAGGACCCTGCCAGAGCCTTACGCCTCCTTTCCAAAGCCCAGCACCTTGCTTAGCTGGCTTTGGGAAGTCAGTGCAAGGTGTCAAGTTTTGGATTCATTCTTCCTCTCCCCCACACAACAAAGCAGCGTGTGGCCCGCGGGTTCCATTCCAAATACTCTTGCAGCCCACTTGGTAAGAAAAGTTGGACTGCCCTGCTATAGCATTACATGTTGGTGGCATACAGTGTGCAATGTTAGTGCCCTGACCTGTGTGAAGCATAATAGTTAATGGCAGGAACAGGCTCAAGGGAGATGCTGGTCTGGCTCACCTTTCCCCAAACTGGTACCTTCTAGGTGTTTTTGCACTGCAACTCCCATCATCCCTGACCATTGGCCCTGCTGGCTGAAGTGGATGAAAGTTTGAATCCAGAAGTTTGAATCCTGAAGGACACGAGGTTTAAGAAGTCTGTTCTGGATGATGCTGACATCTTTGGCATACTAAGTCATTCGTCTTCAGCTAGTGGGTTGAATCTTACAACTGGGTTGCAATAACCTAAGTCGCACCACCAATATTTTAATTTTCTTCTTTTACTTAGGTGCTTACTGTGATAAATAACAAAGCCATGGTCCAGAGGAAAATATGCAGATGTATTTGGTCTGATTGTGATCATGCAGATGTATTAGATGATTATGATCAGCATTGTGATAAAGATGTTAAAAACAGATTAGGAACACAAAGGTAGCAAAAACAAAACTGCCCACCTCACAGACACTTTTAGACATGCTGATCAAAGTTTGGACAACTAAATTATCATAAGAGCATTTTAAATAAGCTTGACCCAATCTGAAGCATAAATGACATGGTCAAATAAATGTGGCCCATTTATGCCCATTATTTTGTGCAAAAAATATACATGGTTCAGATTAGAAACATCTGAGATGCTTTAGGGTATACTTCTGCATAACGCATCTATCCCAAGGTGCTCTTCTCTGTTACACACACACACACACACACACACTTGGCCCTTTGAAAGGTGTTATTGAACCTCTGCCCCTAGCCCTTCTCCTTTTGCTATGCCGGCTTCTTCAGATGAATGTTATCAGAGGTCGTCTGTAGGAACTGAAGTAAATGGGCATGCTCCACAGTGGACCCTGAAAGGTGTTTAGAGGTGGTCCCTGTCATTCTAGAAGGGGGTTTATAACAGAGCATTGGGCTAAAGGCTTTGAAGACTTTTCTCATACAGTGTTGGGGGATTTAGCTGTCGCAGGCGTATATAAGAACCAGAGATGCTTTGCCCTGTCGAGGACACACACTACTTTCCATTAAACGTCATGGGCCACTTCCTCTCAAATAAGTGAAAGTAGGGGGGAGAGGTGACTCTCCTACTTGATACCCCATTTTTGACACTTCAGGGCCTACAGATAATAAGAATGAATTTATGCTGACAGCATACAAAACGTATAATATATATTTAAGACCACAAGGTTTGTTCCCCCTCAGCGAGAGAAGGATTCAACTCCAGTAAACACCTTACTCGCCTAACTGTGATGTATTTCTTGGCTACTATTTCTCCCTCCCTCTACTCCAACCCCCACTCCACATCTTGTCCCCTGCATTGCCACCCCTGGCTTATAATTTGTCATATAAATGCAAAGTTTTCTTTTGGATTGGAAAATGTAGCATTTTGTAGCGGCGGAGGTGGGGAGTGCCACACGCTGAAAAAGACATATCTCCCACCCACCCCCCTTTCCTGGCATTACAGTTGATAATTTTGCAGAGATACTGGCGCTAACTTGCAACGGTGAGCAAGACACAGACAAAGGGGGAAATCGGTTTGTTTGCAGTCAGAAGGTGGGGAGGCGGAATAAGGTCGCTGAAACTTTTACTGTTTTGAAAAAGCCGGCGGGGGGGTTGGAGAGAGGGGTAGTAGAAGAAGGCCCTGAAAATTGCTTTTTATAATTAAAAAAAAGAAGGGAATCTCAGATGTTTTATATCTTGAATATTTACAATAAAACCTTCAAGTGCTTGTCAAGGGGGTAATGTGTCATTAGCAGGAGCTTCTGCGCCGCTTCTCCTCTTGGACATGACAGTGCAGCAGGATAAGAGAAGAGTAATTATAGTTCAGCGGGGCTGCCAGGTGTGATAAATGAGTAATCAGCCCACTGGAGCCCCAGTCCTCAAAGGAGGACTATTACAGCGTTATCAGCTGCAGGCCTGGGTGTACTGTGGCCTCAAACCGAGACACAGACAGGGGCCTTTGCTTTTCTTTTCAGGAAATGCTGCCTGGGAGACCTTTGCTGTCTTTTAGGCTTGCATGTCGGCCTCTTTGTGCTTCTGTCACAGGGATGGGATGAAGGGGTGGTGGGGCTGGAGGAGACTGCAGTTTTTGTCTCTGCCTTTGGCTAATATTTAATGTCTTTATGACCTGGATCCTACTTCTGTGCCTTTTTTTACACTTGCATATGACATAGGTTTTGCAATAAAGCAACTCTAGTCTGCATTTTATTTCCAGTTCTCCTCCCCTTTGGATTGTTATCCACACCTTCTTCTTTTTCTTCTTCTTCTTCTTCTTCTTCTTCTTCTTCTTCTTCTCCTCTTCTTTTCTTTTCACTTATCCTGCAAGGAATTCAGTGTGGTATGCATGTTTTGCCTTCTCTTTTATCCTCCCAACAACCCAGTAAGGTAAGTTAGGCGGAGGGAGAACACTACTGCCCTGAAGTCATGGCAGAGTAGTGATTTGAACTTGAATATTTATTTATGGGGACATTTCTATCCAGACTTTCTAGTGTAAATACACCACTCAGTGTAGCTTACAGAATATTCGATGGCAATTTCATAACAAGAGAACAAAATGATTACATAAGATACAGGGTCAGCAGGTAAACATTCATTAAAACACCTACTGCCTCATAAAAGCCTGCTGAAATTAAAGTCTCCAGTAACCGGTGAAAAACAAGGAGAGGGGACACCATACTTTACGTGGCAAGGTACTCCATAATTTGATACCCTCCACAGCATTGCTATATTTACAGTGTAGAACAGGACCTAGGGAGATCTGAATTCAGATTCCTGCTCACAAGTATCAGGAGGAGACATGCTTAAACAACACACATCTTGATACATCAGCCCATTCAATTCTACCTATTCAGTACAGTTTATGTAGGATGTTTCCAGATTATTAAACTTTGATGACCAAGTAGGTGCTTACTTTGGCTTACCTGGAATCAACAAAGGCAGGGGCAAGGTAGAAGCAGTTACATT